GGAGGGCGCTGAACGGGGGCAGGCTGTGGGGGGCGTCGGCGAAATAGAGGTGCCCGCATTCCGTGCCTGTGCAGCCACTGGCCAGGTGTGTGTGCGTTGCACGTCTGTGCGCGTGGGTGAGTGGGGCGCGCGCCCCGCGGCCGCCCCCCGATGTCTTGGGGAATCCCCGATGGAAGTGGGTTCGTGCCCGGGGCTCCGGAGAGAAGTTGAGCACTGTCGCTTTACTTCAGCCACGTCTCAGAGGTCAGGCCTGGGCGATACCGGTTCCTGAATCCTTTGTAGTTGAAGGGCCTGCCCACCTCCTGCCTTCTCCGAGGCCCTCGACCTTGAATTTGATCTGGATCTGCACCGATGTTTGTTTAGCTACCTGGTGGAAAGAACAGTTTTGTTGGGGGGTGGGGGGCGGTTATTTAATGGACTATGAAGAGGCATCCATCATCTGCAGAAACTGCCTGTGTGTCTGTGGTGGGCTGCTGGATCCCGGCAGATTTATGTAGGTTTTCCCTCCTCCAAACCCCCTAGGAAAAAGGGTCTGTGGAAAGCCAATCTGTGTGCTTCTATTTTTAGAAACTGGATGATGGGCATTTAAACAACTCCTTGGGCTCTCCAGTTCAAGCCGACGTGTACTTCCCGCGACTGGTAAATGGTTTTCTCTGTGCTCTATATCTCTGCCTTACCCCCTCCTTTATAACTACAGTTTCCTGCATTTTCTAATGGGTCAGGTCCACCTGATCTGAGGGCTTGGCACTTCTCTAACAGCCTGTAAACTTCTTGTTTCTCCACTTCTCCTTTGCAGGTCGTTCCATTTTGTGGGCACATTAAAGGTGGCATGAGACCAGGCAAGAAGGTGTTAGTGATGGGCATCGTAGACCTCAACCCAGAGAGGTAACGCAGAGTCCTGCCACCCTCGGAATTATTAGGCAGTGGCAGGGAGGCCCCTACCCACTCCTGTTGTGGTTTTGTCTCTTCCTCTCCTGGTGGACAGTGCTGCTAGTTGAGAGTGCCAAGAAAGTACCATGTTCCCATGAAAAGAATGTGTATGAATCCTAGCCATCATTTCTCCAGACAGCTATTTATATCAGAGATGATAAATATAGACCCACATTTTCTCTTTGACCCTTTGGGAGGCTAAAGGATTTTTTTTTTTTTTAATAGTTTTGAAATGTAGTTCTTGGAACAAAACCCAACAGTTTAAGTAGGAACCAAACTTTACAAGATATTATTTCTTCTGGTTCAGCTTCTGGAGCTGTTATTTGGGAATTCTGAAATGGATTAAGATATAGATGTATAAATGGTTTGGAGTACTTGAACTCTTAATTTCAGATATTTTCAACTCCACTAAAGTTTTCACTAGAGCCTGCTCTTAGTAACAACTGGTTTTGAGTATAATTCTGAACAAATGAAACCATTTTCTTTTCAGCTTTGCAATCAGTTTGACCTGCGGTGACTCGGAAGATCCTCCTGCAGATGTGGCAATTGAACTCAAAGCTGTGTTCACAGACAGGCAGCTACTTAGAAATTCTTGTATATCTGGGCAAAGGGGTGAAGAACAGTCAGCAATCCCTTACTTTCCATTCATCCCAGACCAGCCATTCAGGGTGAGTACCTCGAGTGCCTTGGCCATTACCACTGGCAGAGCAGTGACGTTCTCCTTATCATGTGCGTGCCAAGCACACTTTAAGCAGCCAGAATTCTGCATGGCCAGGAACTTTGTCACCTAATGGTGAAAGAAAAAAATAAAAAGAGCTTTCTGTGCTAATATACATTAATATTCATCAAAGGCTGTCTTTAGCCCATACATTTAGTAAATACACCATATTTATGTAACCAGATTGTTAATACTGAATATCTACTATGCAAGTATTAATTTAATAAGTACTTTGCTATGTAGTTAGTACTCAATATGGTATTAAGCATACTTGCCCCCAAATATCTGATTAATTAGTAAATATTAATATCTAGAATTTTTCTCATTTTTTCCGAAGCCTGAAAGTAGCTCAAAACCTTATTAATTATGACTTTCTGAAGAACTGAGTGATTATCATTTCTTGCTCACTCGTTCTAATGAGGCCATGCCTGTGTCCTTGTTTTCCTCTCTGGGTTAATTAAGCCTCAGTCTGTTTCATGGTCACAGGCTATGTGACAAATTCCTTCCCTTGGGCCTGGATGAATACAGATTTGCTCCCCACTATCTTGCAGGCAGGAAATACAACCCCAACTTGCCATGTATCAGGCAGCATTAGCAGCACCTTCTTCCATGGAGGACAGAGCCAAATAAGAGATACAAGTCAGTAGTACATAAAAATTAAGGACTTACTGAAATGTCAGTAATTCTCTTCATCACATCCTATTAACTGTAAGCTCTGTGTCTTGTATGAGCCTGATCAAGCAGAACTACCATTAACATGTTGCTCTTCATCTAGAAGGTTTCAAAGACCTTATGGTTATTTCTCTTCTTTACAGCATGGGCAGAAATTAAAAATCTGTAACTTTTACATCAGTGATAGATTTGAGATAGTTTCCTTTCTCATCACAGTCTGGAGAGGGTACCCTTGACCCATTATCTCCTCGCATACCATCCACTTCTTTAAGATGATAATGTTCCCTTAGGGTCCCTTTCTCTGGGACAGTTCGTTAGTGATGAATCCTAATCCCCAGCTCATGAGTGTGAGCAGCCAGTTTCTGACTGCCAGAGGACTGTGATGCTTCCCAACAACAAAATTGGAATGAAAAAGACCTTTGGTGTTATAATCGTAGCAATAATATGAATTAAATGTGACTAATATCACATATGGAGCCTTTCCTTACATGGTATATGCCAGTGCTTTTAATAAATACATCATAGCACAGAACCAATAATTAGACTGTGGTGAATAACTTAAGGAAAAGGAGAGAAAAAAGCTTTTACCATGTAGAATCTGTATTTCTGTTTGGCTTAACAAAGCCTTGTTAATTACACATTCTTAGTCCAATGGTAATTACTGTGTAACCTTCTCTCTACTTTAGTGTTTACCATGTTTAGTGCCTAGACTATTATTACATGCTATGATGGGTACCAGTTCTGCCTCGTGAGGGGCTCCTCTGAAGATGGGATGGAATTGTTCAAGGCAGACAGTGGAGGCATTAAATGCCATGCAAACAAATCTGTGCTATTTTACATCACTTTCTGGAGTGCAAGGAGAAATGTTAAAAGCTTAAGCAATTTAAAATCTTTAAAGGATATTGAATGGTATAGAGCAGTGGTTCTCAAAATGGTTTTCCTGTCCTGTCCGGATGACATTAGCATCCCCTTAGAACTTGGTAGTAATGCAGATTCTTAAACTTTACCCTGGGGACCCTGGGATTTAGCTCAGTGGTTCTGCTGCCTGCCTTGCAAATACAAGGTCCTGAGTTCAATCCATCCCCAGTACCAAAAAACAAAAAAATTTTTACCCTGGAGCTACTGAACTGAGAATTTGGGGAGTGACTTCCAGCAATCCAGCCATCTGTGTTCCAGCTTGCTCTCTCTGTAGTTCAGGTGCATTCTGATGTTTGAGAATCATTGAAGATTATGCTTTTTTGTCTTTGTTTTTTTTTCTAAAATGAAGTTTGTTTTCCCCAATAGGGTTCATTGAAATCGTGATTTGATACGTTTATTTTGTTTGTTCCAGGTGGAAATTCTTTGTGAGCACCCACGTTTCAGAGTGTTTGTAGATGGACACCAACTTTTTGATTTTTACCATCGTATTCAAACATTATCTGCGATTGACACCATAAAGATAAATGGGGACCTCCAGATCACCAAACTTGGCTGATGATGTTTAAACCACCTCTTTTCAAATAGGATCAGGTGCCACAACTACAAGATTGTTGGTCTGGAAGAAGTGTCCTGTCAAGATCTAGAGACTTAGAAAACAAAGGCAAGCTTCACTGTCTCTTCTTTCTGTGCAGTTTAAACCCAAAATGACGACTTCAGCTGTGGTTTGTCCATAGAAAGAAAGTTGTTGGACAAAGACACCAAGCCATAATTCCCAAAACAAAGTAATACGTTTATGCTGGATTTTGTTTAGACTAAACTAAAATGGATTGGTAATGATTTATGATTTCATATAAAATTATTCATCATTTTAAACCAAGGTGATGTTTAGAAACAAAAGTGCTAATGACATTTAAAACAACGGTACACCGAAATCAACACATTTCTCCACTGAAGTGGAATTGTGTAGCACAACCAACCTTTTGGTCAGGGTATTTACATAGAATGTAGGTTATTCAAGTTTAATTTTGTTTTGTTCCTTTTTTTCTTTTTTGGCATAGCATAATGTCAATTCAGATTTGTGAAGCTTTCTTGTAGCTATTTATTTATATTCAATGTATGTATTAGAGAATGAGCAATGTCTCAAGAACAGCAAGTTATAAACTTTTGAATGTATCAATATCTTAGGTCTGAGGAGAGAAAATTACATGTTACAGTCATATAACAGGTGAATTTATACCTTAAAGATTTGGGTTGTATTCTCCAAACCCCCTGAACTTTGGATCTCGTCATAAGAATTTCTGTAAGTGCTTTTGGGAAAAATTTGCAGTGTTTTGATAAAACTGTTTTTCAAGTTATTGTCAATTATGTGAAATTCTATTTACATTGCTTCTCCTTACTGTGAATTAACACAGTATTGGCTTCTTTAAAACTAACTACTCCCTAGATTTACATGGTAGCTCATTAAGTTATTAAATTAATTGAAAACACATAAGACATGATTGCATAGACAATTTTTTAAATAACTATTATATAAACTTTTAAAAGTATAATTTGAAAATGATTCTGGAATGTAGTGTAAAGCAGAATCAAATGGATCCAAATAACTTACTTGGAAATAATTTATATCAATTTAAGCTGTTAGCTCATTGTATAACTTTTCTTGTGACACTCACTAATATCCGTAAGCAATGCCTTTGGAGCTTCAGAGTAGAACATGCTTCTTACTGTGTTGCCTTGGAATACATAGTAGGATGAGATGGGATCCAGATTAGAAAAGGATCCAGTTGTTTATCTGACAGGTTAAGTCCTAGGACTCCAGGTCTTTGTGTCCAGCCAGTAGTGTGAATGCTTCCAATGAAGCTGTAGAGGTTTCCCTGCACTTGTGGAAGTGATCAAATGATAATGTGTCTCCAGCAGGAGGCTACAAACTGTAATGTCAGTACAAGGCCAGGGATGGTTGGGGTCCCGGGAGCGGGACTTCACAAGGTACAGTGACCCTAAAGAGGAGGACTCTTGGCATTGCTTTGGCTAGGTAGTGGGGGAAGAGAGGGATGCTGGGATGGGGGTGTATTTATATATAATTTAGGTTTTGTTTGTACAGCATACTGTGTCTTGTTATAACATGTCCTTGTCCTGCTTTGCTTTTTTACACAACATGCAGAGGCACTGAAGTGGCCAGATCATTTTCATGTGTCAAGAATGTAGACAGTGTTTCAGTACCAAAGTCTAAGATAAACAAAGCAAACTAAAATTGTGAGTTTTTTTTATAGGTGGTATATTTGGATTCTTTTTAACCTTTGAAACTGTTCAGCACAATTCCATGGTGTTATATACAAAGATACTTTATCCAAAAAAACTGGCTGTACATTTCAAGCTGTTTATACCAGCTGACTTAGCCATATTCAGCTCTGAGGGCTGGTCTGTGGCTCTAGGTACTTTCAAGCCTGTGTTTAACCTTTCACACCTCACTTTTGAGGAGTAGAGAGACTTAGGAGGTACCCTGAAATTTGTAGCGGCTTTGATTCAACTATGGGGGAAGACCCTGTGGAAGGCCTCTTTTGAGTGGCCATTGTTCCCACCCACTGCATAATTCAACTGAAAGGAGAGGAGGAGCAGGAGTATAACTGATCGGAAGTGACACTGCTGTTCTCTCAACCTATCAGCTAACTCATTAGCAGCCAAGCCTTTAGGCAGCTTAGTGGGAAAATACAGTATTAACTCTTCATTTCCCTGTGAGGCCAGGGGGATCCTCTTGGATAAGCCTACTGAGATTAATCTACGTGGTGAGATTGTCTAAGTATAGCTAAATGAGTAGGGGGCTTCTACCCTAATGGTTAGCTGTAAACTGGAACATGTTCGTACCCTCTCCTTGGCATGTGAGGTCTAAGGTGGGAATTTCAGGATGGAAAGTGCAATTTAAAGCTTCACAGGAAAATATTTGCGTATGTAAAGAGTTATTTCTGTCCAGAGTCCTAGTTTTGCAATAACCAAAACCAAGGAATAACAAATCAGGCTCTGGGGAAATAAAAGGCTTTAGACAATCTGTTTCTACAGCAAAATTGAAGTGAATGTGTAAATCTACTTACCAGTTAATGAAAGTGACTTCTACTTTCTGGGTTATCCCAGAATTGTCTTAAAATTATTTTTTTAAATTTTGAAACCCCCTTTCAGATCTCACCAACCTCAGTTTCAAAACCCCCTAAGAGATTACTCTTAGAATTGATGCTTTGTTAAAATTCAAATCCTTCCACTTGTATTTAAAAGAAAATATCCAAAAAGGGAGAGAGCCCTGTTGCCTTGAGAAACAGCCTTGGCATTTTCTGGCATTAATGTAGAAATAATGTTCCTATGATAAAATATTTTCAAAGAAACACGTTCTTATTTACTGCGTGGTGTAAAATGTTGCTAAATGTTACATTATGTCACCGCTGAAAATTATTTGCACTATAATAAAGGAATTTTTTACAAAATAATCTGTAGTTTATTACATGCTTTTGGCCCCAGGTATAATACACTTAGCACAGACCGAGTGGACTAGCTGTGATCCCTCAATTTCACACTTACACTCCACAACCACTTCTTAATGTGTTTCCCACATTGATTACAAAAAAGGAAAGTGTGTTAGGGGCCCCCAGAAACCAAATAAATTGTGAATGTAGGGGTTCTTTTTGAATATCGTTTGCTTATAGTAAAGTTGTTTTTTGGTGTACATTTCTATGATTTGTAACATTCAGAATGTAACTACCATTTTATTAGGATACAAAATCATTGCATCGTCCCCCCAATTCCCTTGTACTACCTCTTTGCAGTTAAATTTGCCCCCCCAACATAACTTTGATGAGGCAGCCTCAGATCTGTTTCCCTTCTAGAGTTTTGCATTTTTCTTAATGTCATGAAAGACAGAATCACATAATGTATAATCTTTCAGAGTTGGCTTCATTCATGTGTATATCAGTAATTTTTTTTCTTTATATTGTTGGGTATTTTATTGTATGGATATTCATGTCTTTATCCATTTACCTGTTGAAGGATGCAGTGGATTCCTAAGAAGTCAGTACATGTAGTCTTAGCACAGTATATATGCAACAACAAGATTATATTTTTCTTGCCTTTTCCTGTGGTTTGAACAATTCAGACATTGGATCCTTTCATTATTCAGCCTATAAATAACACTGGATGGCGTATAGAAATTTGTCCAGATTCAGTTATCAGTAGATTACAGAGACTAATTAACCTTAATTAGTTTTATTAAGAGGGTTATGAGACTAGTTTGCTGCTTGCTCTAATGTGGCTTTTGCAATCCAGTCCATACAGGAAAGGCCTGTTAAGGTGGGGACACTTTGCTGAGGCTGTGGGGCACAGATAGGAGAACACACACACACACACACACACACACACACACACACACACACACACTGCCGCTGCCCCACCAGCCAGGCTAAGGCACCATGGGGGACATGACATACTTGTTTTATGGCAGTGTGTTGAGTAATTAGCCAATCTGGAAGAATGGGTCATCAAACCCTCAGTGACACAAACCCTCAGGGCCCTCACTCATTCAACAGGTATTAGTTGAACTGTGTCAGTTGTTCCAGGCTCTTGGATCCATTAACGAGTAAAAAAGACAAAAGTCTCGGATGGTTTGAAACTTCAGTGTGCTTAAGAATCAACCAGAAAGCCTGTTTTAGGTCTGGATTATGACCCAGGATTTTTTAAAGAAACATCCTGCATCCCAAATTAAGCAACTCTCCCTTCAGGAACTCCTGGCCAGTTACTGAATGAAACTGTTGGGATGAATGGGCCCTGAGATTCTGGTCTGTGGATACTGTTCTATGAAAACTTTAAAATGGAGGTGCTGTTTTGCCAAAATCCGACAACTGTCATTACAAAACTGTGTATAGTGGTCCCTAACAATAACCTTCTCTCCCCCCTCCTGCCTCTACCTCAAAAAACATACAAAAGACCCTTGTAAAAATGCTCCTACTGGGTTGGTTTAGGGGTGAGGTGACACTCTGATATCCACTTTAAATAATGAATGCTCCTAAAAGATTGAGATTCTCAGGAGGCCTGTCTTCCTTCTTGATAAGCATTTCAATTAGCTATTCAATTAGCTGGAAAATCAGCAGGCTGGGCCCCTGTGAGGCAAATATGCATAGTGATTTATAACTTGTGAAGAGCTGCCTAATAGTAAGTAGTAGTGGCTTTCAGGGCAGTTTGAAATGAGCTTGAAGTCTTCTTTTCACACGCACAAAATAATGCTACTGAATGTGTGCACAATGTTACAGGATTGCTTTCAGCCACTTGTTTCCTGATCACCATGTGAATTTCACAATGGATTTTCCAAAAAAGAAAAGAACTATTTTGTGAAACAAAGACTCCACAATTAATTAAAATGGGTGTATCTAAAGTGCCCAACCTAGAGCAGGGGAAGAAACGGGCCGCTGAAGTTTTCACTCACTTTGATACACCCTTCCATCTTCCAGGAGAAGAAGGTTTCTAGGTGAACAAACAGAGGGCAAGGAGGCACCATTGCTTGACAGGGCAATAGATAGTCCCTAAATAATAGGCCTGGGAAACAGTAAATCAGTCACAGGCCTTGGGAATGAGGTAGGGTTTGGGAGGCTTCCAAGCCTTCCTGAGTCAGAATGATAACAAGCATTTGCTAATAACCCAGCACCTCCCTTTCTATCATTCTTTTAGTTTGTTCATTTTTGATGGGCTCTCACTATGTTATCCAAGCTTGTCTCAAACTCCTAGACTGAAGGAATCCTCTTGCCT